TGGCACTGGCATGTTTCCCATTGAGCATAACTGGAAGAATTTAAACAGATGAGTGAGAGATCAGTGATGCAGAAAGATCATTAGTGTTGGCTCTCTTCAGAAATGCCAGATTTTCTAATGGCGCAGCTTTGTCATTGTCCAGTACTGAAACTCTGATATTTAAATATTTTTAGTCACCTGTTTTACTAGTGGAAGAAATGACAGATGGCATAAATGATTCATTAAAGATGGGGACTGACCAAGGTTCAGGCTATCCGCACTCGTCGACCTCTATTTCCATCTCTAAAAAGGAATATCCTATCCTAATCATCGAGATTCTCTACTCTATATCCATTTTCTTCCGCACCCGTGTTATTTCTATTCCATACTCTATATCCACTATTTCATATTTTATTCCCCTCCCTCCCCCTTTCTCTCTCTCCCAAACTCGCTTTCTGCTACAGTGTTGCCACAGTGTTTAGCGCGGCTCTTTCGCGTGCGCGGTCTGTGGCGGGTTCCTGTGCAGCCGGTACGCTCCCGGGGCCTTTGCAGGCGCGCGGTGCGGACGCGCGGTACGCTACCGCTGGCGTACCGGCCGCTTTACCGCTCTGCGGTGCGGTCAGCCTCAGTTAGTGGACTGTATTTGATTCTTGTCTCCTGACAAGTCACAGCCAATATTTCACGTACAGTTTACCGCTCTATTTCCCAGCCCTTCTGTCAATTTTCATTGGTCAAAGTTCTTCTTTGGGAGAGAATTGCTCATCTGCTCAACAATATGACACAAGCCAAAGTGCTGAGTTGATGCCATATTCAGAACAGACCCTATGTCTCAGAGATGAACTCTCAGCCTTAATCGAGTCACCAAATTTCAACTCCTGAAAACAGAGCTGACAGCACAGAGATAAGGTATAGTATACAACAACAACAATAAAGCATTTAAGTCCCAAACAAGTTGGGGTAAGCTAGAGTTGAAACCCAGCAGAAGCAATCAAGGTTCAGGCACGTGAATAGCTGTTTTCTAAGCGCTCTTATCTAAGGCTAAGTCTTTGAGTATATTCCATCTTTTCAAAGTCTCCTTTTATTGCCTTTACCCAAGTCAACTTCGGTCTTTCTCTACCTCTCTTCACGTTACTATCCTGGCTTAGGATTCCACTACGTACTGGTGCTTCTGGAGGTCTCCGTTGGACATGTTCAAACTATCTTAACCGGTGTTGGACAAACTTTTTCTTCAATTGGTGCTACCTCTAATCTATCACGTACATCGTCGTTCCGAACTCGATGCCTTCTTGTATGACCGCAAATCCAACGCAACATACGCGTTTCCGCGATACTTATCTGTTGAATATGTCGTCTTTTCGTAGATCAATATTCTGCACCATACAACATAACAGGTCTAATCGTCGTCCTATAAAACTTGCCTTTTAGCTTCTGTGGTACACTTTTGTCACATAGGACACCAGATGCTTGGCGCCACTTCATTCATCCTGCTTTGATTATATGGCTAACATCTTCTTCAATATCCCCGTCTCTCTGTAGCATTGATCCTAAATATCGAAAGATATCCTTCCTAGGCACTACTTAACCTTCCAGACTAATATCTTCCTCTTCCCGAGTAGTAGTGCCGAAGTCACATATCATATACTCAGTTTTAGTTCTACTTAGTCTAAAACCTTTAAACTCCAAAGTCTCCCGCCATAACTCCAGTTTCTAATTCACTCATGTCCGGCTTTCATTAACTAGCACTACATCGTCGGCGAAAAGCATACACCAAAAGATGTTCCCTTATATGTCCCTTGTGACCTCATCCATCATTAAGACAAACAGATAAGGGCTCAAAGCTGACCCTTGATGTAGTCCTATCCTAATCGGGAAGTCATCCGTATCTCCATCACTTGTTCGAACACTAGTCACAACATTGTTGTACATGTCCTTAATGAGCTCGACGTACTTCGTTGGGACTTTATGGTTGTCCAAAGCCCACCACATAACATTCCTTGGTATTTTATCACAAGCCTTCTCCAAGTCAATAAAAATCATGTGTAGGTCCTTCTTCTTCTCCCTATATCGCTCCATAACTTGTCTTATTAAAAAAATAGCTTCCATGGTTGACCTTCCGAGCATGAAACCAAATTGGTTCATAGAGACCCGCGTTATTGCTCTCAAGCGATGCTCGATAGCTCTCTCCCATAGCTTCATAGTATGGCTGATCAACTTAATTCCCCGGTATATTTACATCTTTTTAGATTCAGAAGCTGTTTGCCTTGTCTTATGCGTAATGGTTCTTTGGTGTTTTCTCATAGAGGTTGATGCCTCAGTTACATGAGAATTGTTGTTGTCACACCTGCAATCACTACCATCATCCATTATTAGGGAAATTGTACTTTTCAATATATATACAAGAGAAGGTCAGCCCATGCATATTGGATTGCATTTTTCAGAACATCCCAGTACGAAAAATGCTGCACCTAGTGGGGAGAGAAAGGATGCTGAAATACCCTGTGAAAGCATTTCTCATAGAGGTTGATGTCCGAATGTTTATCTATTCAGCACTTGTTTTACTAGTATTCAGTCATGTGTTGCGATATAAGATGAGAAAGAGAGAGCAGAGTAATGGGTGGATTAGCCAATGTATGGCTTTTATGGTCGCCTGTAATCATTTTTAATTAATTAATTTTAGCAAACAAGTGATTACACTAGTTATAGCTGTACTATGTATCCTCTGAAATACCCTGTGAAAGCAATATGATCAAGCCTATCAATATATTCTTTTAAATTGCAAATATGTAAATTTATTTAGTTGGTGTAATGTCAATACTTTTGCTATTATTGCTTTCATTTTAACAACAACTAGCTCCTGAGCTGAAATTTAGTTCGTGCCAAATGTATCGATTGCTTTATGTTATAAGATGCACACTGAAAACTATAATAATGTACCGTTTTGAAAAACCAAATGTGGTCGTCTCTTTATGTTTTGCTGACTCTTGTTTGTATTTCAGCCATTGAACAAGTTGGAAGCAAAGGAACTGATGATACAAACATGCCGATGAAGAAGCGCAAGTTGAATACTAGAATAGATTGGCTATACGAGCAAATTACGTGGTTGTAAAGTCTATCTGTTTACTTATCTATTATATAAAATGAAGCCAGTAGCTATATGCTTCGGTACTATGTATTATATCTCTCAGGCACACTGACATGAGAATAGGGCATGGTTTCTTGGTTCATATAGTTTCAGAGAATACAACAACTCTTCAGGTTTTCGGTGGCTTTGTTGTTGTCGTGGCCGTTCAGTTTCAGCACTCACACTTATCTTTGTTATCATCTTTATCTCTGTTGTTTGCATGGAGTTACAGTTTATCATACAAACCAATGTGGTCTTAAGTTGTTGAAAAAAAAAACAGTACTAGCAAAGCTATGAATTTCTTGTACATGAGTTTTTTTTTTCTTTGAAGAGGTCTGCACGTTCCACTTACATTTGCTTTTTCTTGCATTGGCGTCGGCGTTGCACCGTTGTTTTGCATTAGCTATGGTATTCCCAGTGACCATCCGCCACCACTACAGAGCTACCCATACCCACTAATTATTGCCCACTACTCATTGGATACGGATAATTAGAACACATTGGATACGGATAATTAAAATTTGAATGGGTACTGGGGAAACGTGGACAAACGGTAATGCCCTGGACGCTCGCTTGTTTGGCCTGCGGATCAGCTCGGGCGACAGGGCTGCCTTCTTTGCTCTGGTGCAGCTGCTCTCCCCAATCTCTTTACTGTGCATCAGTCATCCAGAATATTCCCCGCTCCGCTCCGACCATCATGGCCGCCGCCACCGTGCCATCCGCTCGCCGTAGCCGCCTCCACCGAGTCGGCGAGCCTCCACGACGGATGCTCCAGCAAGCAGGAGAGGGGAGGAGCTTCGTATGACGCTGCCCCGCCGGCGAGTTGCCCATGCCGCTGCCGCACCGGTGAGCTCCATGCCGCCGTCGACCTCCGCGCTGGTGTCGAGCTCCGCAGCGACGAGTCTCCGTTTGTCCAAGCAGGAAGGTGACATTGTGCTGAAATCGTACCTTGCAAGCGTATGTTTCAATTGTTTTAGATGTTTCAGAGGTCAAGTATGTTGCAAGTTTTATATCGATGTTGCAAAGTAGATCAGGATGTTGCACATATTGCATTGGCAAAACACGTATGTTTCAAGTGTATATTTCAAATGTTTCAGACGTATGTTGCAAGTGTTTCATCTGTATGTTGCAAAAGTAGATCTTAATGTTGCATATACAAACATGTTGCAAGCGTATGTTTTAAGTGTTTCGGGTGTTTCATACGTATGTTGCATGTGTTTCATCTTGATGTTGCATATGTTTGCAATCGCTACACGTGTTTTCAAGTTTTTTTCTGGTGTTTTACAAGTGTTTTAGACGTATGTTGCAATTGTTTCATCTGTTTCAGACCTATGTTTCAAGTGTTATCTGGACGTTGCAAAAGTAGACCGGGTGTTGCACATATTGCAAACGGACCCACCTGCTGGGGTGCTGGCGAGCAGGTGCAGACAGTCCCGCGTGCATGTGCGTGGGAAGCGGAGGGGGCACGAGCGGTCCCCGAGTTGAGTTGGGCGCCACGTGGGCGCGCGAAACAGGTGCAGGCGCAGGTACCGTCCGATGGATCATTATCCGATCGGACTTCAGGGCGCTAACACTTTCCTTGGACAAAGTATGGGTGTGCCCAAAATTTGCCCAACGGCATCGCTTGATGCATGGAAATGCTAAAATACCGTAGGTTTTTAAAATGACTTGTGTGCAGTTTGCGCTTGCCATATCTGTTGGAATCGGCAGAGAAAAGCACCAAGACATATGTAATCCGCACGACAAAAATGCAACAGTAGACATATGTAGGCCTGACGACAAAAACTACTACAGTATTTGGATAACCAACGACAACAGTAACATAAGGTATAGGTACATAAAAGCAAAGTCACTGCAGCAGCATTTGTCGTCCAATTTAACCCCCTAAGCACCTCTGAACCTACTTCTGAAAAAGCATGGATAAATTAGAATCGATGGGCTCAGTTCATAGCACAGCCTCGAATTCAGTTCTGAAACTCTTGGACATGTGCTTGACCATGCGTGTGTGTGTATATATATATATATATATATATGGACATGCAGCCTGTGGCACGACGGCCCGGCACGAAGCCCGAAATTTTGGTCTGGCACAAGCACAGCCCGGCCCGGCGGCGAGTGGGCTCGGGCTAGCATGGCCTGGTACACAGGGCCGTGCCTGGACCGCATCCCATGCACGCGGGCTGGCTTGGCCCGGCCCGCAATTTGGTGAGAGGCCCGGCGAGGGCCCGTTAACCATCACAGCCTGCTAACAGCCCACAGCACAGCAACTCCTTCCACCTAACCCTAACTTCATTTCCCATCCCCTACGCTGCACTCCTCCCGCTAGGCTCCTCACAGTCGCGAGTCGCGACTTCCCAACGCAACCCCCACACGCCGCCCTGCTCCTCACCACGCCGCATTTCAAGCGCGCGCCGCGCAGTCGCCCTGCTGGCCTACTCCTCCCCGCGCCCCACGCAGCGGCGGCTTCAAGTGCACAAGCGGCCGGCCTCGAGCACCGGCAGCCGCAACCCCGCCGCCGACTGTGCCCCGTGGCGGCGAGCACGCCGGTCGCGGACACTCGGCCTCCCGGCTGCTCCGCTGCCCCAGTCTCCCGGCTCCCCTTCGCCCTTCCCCCTCTCTGTGTCGCAATGGGCCTTGGGCTGGCCCGGCCCATCATTTTGGTCATGCTTTTTGGGCCGGGCTGGCACGGAAAAGGGCCCATAGTGCCGTGCTTGGGCCGTCGGCCAGGCACGAAGCCTAGAGCGGCACGGCCCGGTGGCACGCCGGCCCGGCCCGTTGCCCATCTATAACCATGCGGATCCCCCCTTCAGCGGGCAGCACCTCCACGCCGGTGAAGACAGTCACCGGGATCCAGGGACGTCTTACCTCACCAAAGTTAAGAACGAACTTATTGGCAATGCAAAACCTCCCTGAGCCAAGGTTCACCAGGTCATGCACTAACTGCGACCAGTTCTCCGGCAGCTCAGATTCCTCCTCCCCGATGTGCTGCATCGTCGGCGGCGGAGAGCCTGGAGCGGTGGAGAGGTTGTCCAGCGTGCACAAGTCATAGGGGCCTGAATCTGGTAATAAAGCCAAGCCACAGGCCCAGCTCAGGGATGTACTCAGCTCTGAATGGCAGCACCCAGTCCCCCACCTTGTTCCACTCATGGGTCACCGTGTCGAATGAGTAGGTCGCCGTGGTGGTCGACACACATATCCTGGTGCCATCGACCACCGTGAAGTTAGTCATGAGGGGGACCTCGTACTCTCGGTCCTCCAAGAATGGCGGTGGTGGGAGTTCACTCCAGCGCCACTTCCCCATAGAGTCGTAGCCAAGCACCTCAAAACAGGACGTGCAACGGTGCATATCGAACATGAACAGGTTGCCCCTGTGGTCGTCAGAGTCAGACATGGCACGGGAGGCCGCAGCAGCAGCACCTGGGAATCTGGGATGGAGACTGCCACACAATCGGCATCCTTGGGCGAATTCAGGATGGGCGTTGCAGTCAGGGAGCTCAGCTCAGTGTTGTAGATGCAGGTGTTGCCGGCCTCGTCCAAGAAGAGGAGGATATTGTTCTTGCTCTCGCCAAGGAGAGCGAGCGCGCAAATGGAACAATCAGGCTCAATCGGTAGAAATGGTTGGTAGTGAATGCTCGGTGTAGGCAATCGGCTGATCCTCAACTCACTGATGCCAGTCTTCTTCATCTTAGCTTGAGCCTCTGCGTCCAGTGCTTCTGTTAGACAGGTAGAAGAAGAGCTTCGACACGTCCATGAGCCTCAGCGGGGAATTTTTTTAAAAATGATATTTTTTAATGATTAACTGCCAATCTAGAAGCTGTTATAGGAGAGTTATACATATAGCACCCTGTCAGCCATCGTGGCCATGACGTGGCACCGACGATCACCAGATATGTTGGCGCCGATTGGAGGGCTGTCGGCCAAGCCGACAGGGGCAATTGGCTGGCTCCTAGAAAGGAATCTAGACCTATCGGCTTACCAGTTACCGACAGGTTGGGCAGCCCAGATGCTAACTTGTTTATTCCATGTGTCATCCTGCAATATCACAACCAACCTTCATCACCCAACCAAAAATATATATAAAAAATTTACAGAACTTTTGAAGGAACATACTAAGATAATAATACTAAAAACTTTTGAAGGAATAAACGCGTTCTTATTAACCAAGTGCTACATGAATATTACCTGCAACAATAAATGACGTGTGTGGAACTCTAGGTAGCTAAGGTCAATAGTCCAACAACTAATCCTAACATGTCTTAGGGAATTTAAGTAAAGCATGACCTGCAATGGCATATGTGGAACTCTATGCTACTAAATAGGTTCAGAACTCCACCGCTAATCCTAACATGCCTTAGAGAATTTAACTTGGTGGGTATATTACATTTCGTCTACTGGGTGTAGTGCAGCTATTTGCCCTTTCTCTCGCACCCAGAAGATGGTTCCGCTGCATCCTTCTTCCTATCACTTTTGGACTTGAGGGCTGCCCCACGAGCTTGAAGCTCTTCCTCCTGACGCTTGATGGCTGCCTCACGCATAAGTAACTGCTGTCGCCTCCTTTGCAGCTCATCCTCCTTGCCCTTCAGACGATTTGATCCACCCTCATGCGTTGCTCTTGCTCGAGTCGCATCTATCATTTCACTTCGCGAGCCTGATGCATCTTCACAAAGTATTGACCTTTGGCTTCCCTGTCGCTTGGCCATCGTTGTGGCCATGTAGACGCTACCCAATCCACCCATTCAATGAACTTGCAAAGCTATGTGTAGGGTGGTAGATGTCATGGATTATGTAGAAAAATTAGAATGTGAAAGAAATGATTTAGTTGTCGTTGTTACCATAAAGTCGTTATCCAGGTCTGGACACTTGAAGAATCTCGGCCGTAGTTGGCTCGAGGCACTTGATCTATCCGGCGCATTACATCGTTCGCCCGACCACAATGGCACTTTGGATGCTCATGCCACTCGAGGCACTCCCCATCGGGTCCGACATCCATGAAGACATTGTTGTCTAGTAGAAGTGTGATGGCTTGAGGAGGAGATGTGGTATCGAACTGAGCATAGCTCAGCTGGTTGGGTTCCTTGTGGTGGAATCTGCCCACCTGGGTTCAAGTCCCCGACCTTGACACGGGTGCTCGCATTTTCCTGGACTTATTCTAGCATTTAATGGTGTTATTCTTTTAGTGGTAGGCGACGTGCCCATCAATACTGAGGCGCATGTGGTGACTTCGTCAATCTCGAGAGATTTGCCGATCCAACTTGGTTCTTTAGAGGTTCTCATAGGGGTAGGGTGTGCGTGCGTGCGTTCATAGAGATGAGTGTGCGCTCATGTATGTGAGTGTCTGCGTCTGTAAAAAAGGAGGAGATGTGGTATGGAATACATAGGAGGCATATTTGTAGGCGCGAGTTATCCAGTGCGTGGGCATGCATGGTCCATGGAGGATGATATGAAAAGCTTCTTTTCAGGATTTGAGTTGAGCAATAAAAGTCCCTATGTGTAGCCTTTTCAGAGGTTGAAGTCTAGTAATAAATTACTAGTTCATGACCTTTCAAATCTTGGACCCTTTTTGGTCGTTTGCAGGCAACAATACGTTCCATGAATTAAATGCTACAACAAAGCCTTCTCGAGGCAACTCATCATAATTTATGAAACAACAAGGTGCAGGTACATTGTAGTAGGAATTAAAGAAACACAAACTACATACTATGGATTCAAAGGCATACGACACAATTGTACTTAAGCTTAAACCACCACATGTTAGGTCCTAATCAAACTCGCATCCGAGAGAACATAGAATACTATGAGGAATATTGTGATGAACCTTGTCCATAGTATGATCCACCACCGTATGGAGGAGGACCCATGTTCCCATGGCGGGGGCACTTGCAATATGAATCAGTGCATACCAGTGTATCTTCCATTGGAACATGTAACACTTCTTCTTGAGTATTTTCTTCTTTGGGTGTGGGCATGTTTTGAACCTCCTTTCTAGGTCAAAGACACGTTCTATAGGTATTGGATGTATTCTTGAAATGAGTAAAGGGCTGGTAGATCAACCCATCTAGTGAACCTAATTTTTTGTTGTCATCGTAGTACTACACAAAACAAAAAAAAATATCAACATTCACGCATAAAATGACTACAATGATGGAATGGTTAGTATGAATTACTCATCCTTGAGAGCATCCCGAAGAACTATCGTCCTCCATCAATCCCAACATCATATACACCACTCGCAATTTTCATCATGGCATCATTTTAACCACTCTTCTTTCCTATTATCATATGATGGCAACCTACTTGGTGGACGAAAATTACTCTTACCTTGCAATGGGAAGTTCTCTAGTGGATATTTGTACCAATCAGGATCATACGAACCTACCACACCATGGTATCACCTCCCTTTCCTTTCCCTGATGCACCCGACATTGGTCTAAACTCGCTTTGAAGTGTGGTATGGTAACTTTTGCTCTCTGTGTTCACAAAAACTATGACCCGTCAACTTGTAGGAAGTGGCATGGAGGTGGGGCATTTACCCTGATGTGATAGGTATGTGAAAAGACATTCTTACCATTTACTGTTGATATGAACACTCACTATAAAGGCTAAATAACGATGAAGTGACAACTCACTGTAAAGGCTACAAACCTTTGAAGTGAAAACAACTGCAAAGGCTATGTAGGAACCTACAAAGGCTATGTCCCTATATGTGTACTGGGATTCCTTTGTTGAAGCGATGGTACCCTAAAAAGTCTATGAAGTTGTGCTATGCGTGTCGTTTTTCTGTTGAATTGTCCTTTGCCTCGATGTACGCAAGAGACTGTATTGGAGCGTTGCCTCTATTTATTAGTTATAGATCGACCAATACACTTGGAGGCATAAGAAAGAGTACATTAGTTCACATCCATGCAAACATTCAAGTATACAACACCACAACTCAACCTCCATGATACGACAACGTTTGATGGTTTGCGCTCCTCAGTGATGAATCTGGGTTGTAGGCAAAGTGAACTAGACTATAGGGTGGCGCTGGCATGCTAACAGGGTCGACTATTGAGGCTGAGTACCTTGAGTCAGCTGAGTTGCACTAGAAAGCTATGAGAGCCCTAAACAATTGCAACATCAAATCCAACATCCATGATAAGACAATTTTGATGTGAAAAAGAGACTTTACATGACGTGGGTACTAGTTGCCAATAAGAACTCCAAAAGAACCAAACTAAGAACTCCATAAAACCCAATCCACCGTGCTAATAGGTTTAGCAGACTAGATGACATGTAGATGGTGCAATATCACTTAATAAAGTGTTAAACTAGAGTTTGGTCCTTTAGCTTCATTCACAATCATAAAAGTTCTTCGCCTCCATACTTATTCTCACCGTTCTCTAATTTCTCCATTCAACGGAATCGAGTTCGTGACTAAAACCAAGAACAATTAAAATGCAAAATGACTTTTTGTGAGCGTTGCAACATCACATAAAAGGGTTTAACTAAAGTTTGGTCCTTAGCTTCCATCACAATCACAAAATATCATC